TATACGACATGAAGTTCAGGAGGGTACTTCTGCTTTGAGCCTACCGTTGAATCCTCCTGGTGGGGGTGGTGGTTCTGGACCTGGTGGAAGTTCAATATTTCCCATCACCAATAGCCCACTCCTTGATGCAGCGTTGACCACCATTGTTGGTTTGGGAATGGGTGCGTGACGAGCCATGACGTTATTCTGTGGTTCGGCCAATAACCATGTTTGTAGTTTTTGTGGGTGGTATCGCGTATGTTAAGTGGTATAAAAAGAATGTCCTGGATAAGGTAGGATTTCTCGTATCTTTCGTTGTATGTATTATCTCAGAGTGTGGAGATCGAGGACGCCTTTTCAAAAGGCTATGATCCTGCCCTGGAACTAGCGGAACAGCAGCATAAAAAGCCTCTAAAGCAAGGCGAAGAAGGAGCTGAGGGACCATGGACACGCAGTTTGCGGCGGCGAGAACAAAAGAAGATTGATAAGATCGTTCATGGTCAAGAGGCAGGCCATTATTTTGTTCTCCTTGGGCCGAAGGTATGGTCTCATCTCTTCTGCGCTGTTTCGACGTTGAAGGAAACCTCTCATCTAGGGGTCTGGTAAAGGCACAATGATATTTGATTCAATGGCTGCGATCCGAGCAGACGGTGTCTCGATGTGTGACGCACACCCTGACCTAGAAGTCTTTCGACTACGCCTAGGAAAGGCACTGAACTATGAATTTAATGAAGACTCGCAAACGGGATTATTCCAACGTCGGGATCCTCGGGAAGGTTGTCCTCTGCCACCTTCCAGACCAGCATTGTGCTAATCATATCAGGTGGACCTGCTTTGGATATTGAGCGAGGTGTGGAAAACTTCTATGTGCGAGTTTAATACAGGTTATTGACTTGACTTTTTCTCCAGCGATGAACAAATTGGAAAAAGTAGCTCTTCGCTCAGCCCGGAAAACTGGAAAACCACTTGTGTTGATCATAAACAACGTCCATTTTTTCAACAACGACGAGGCTGGTCGGAATATGCTACTTCAGCTCCAGTCACGCGCAGAGGGATGGGCTGCCAGTGGTGCGTAGAGCGTGTATTTTCCTGTAGATATGCTAACTGGCGTTGCAGGTATTCTCACAATGGTGTTTAGCTCGTAAGTTCAACTGCGATAATTCCAAACTTCATACTGAATTCTTTTTCAGCGATGATTTCTGGCCATTCCAAGTTCTGCGTAAGTCCTGCTGATATGCTGTGGGTCTAACCCCTGACTTGTTCACTAGGAAAAAACGCAAGCAGGATGCATGTACGTCTCGGTACACCGGTTGCTACATACCTCCCTCACAGTCCCTAAGGTGCTCTCAATAACTGACCTCAACAACTCTGAAGCTCGTGATGCTTTGAATCGCTTGCGAAGCTGCAATAGGAACCTTACTTCGCCTCCAGAGGAGATCGAGAAGGCTATTTCGCTCGTTGGTGGGCGTCTTGCATATCTCAACAGAGTAAGTCGAATCTAAGACTCACCGACAAGTTCGCTTACCTTGAACAGGTCTCGAAATGCAAGGATATGATACAGATGGCCGAACACCTAATGGCTGTCGAGAAGGGCTGGTTATTGAGCCAGATAGGTAACCCAAATTTTCTCGAGTGATCACCAACCCAGAGCTAAAACTTTCCTGTCAACAGGTCTAATTCCGGATTGTGATGACGATGTCATGGACGAAGTACGTCATATTTCTAGTAAAAGGCACCTCTACAGTATCTCATAATTTTTGTTTGGTGTAGCAAAAATGGAGCTCATGTTCCTGGCTACTTCTACAAGAGTTTGTGAAAATTCGCGAAGAGAAGGAAAAGGAACGACAAGCCGCTCTTGAAGCTGGCACGATCGATCTCGAACACGACAAGGGTGTTGGGCTGCCTTCGATTCCATATGTAAGTTGGGTGTAATGGGAAGCAATATCTGGATGCTCAACTTTGTTTAACAGTGGAGATGTCGTCAAATCATGACTCGAGCCGACTTTTTGGAAGGTTTGTGACGCTCCTCGTCTTCTCAAAAGCAATATAGGGGAAGAATTAATTTTAATTTCACGAACAGATCTCGACAGGGCTAACATTATCTCCATTGATGTGTGTATTCCCCTTAGTATCAAATGCCGCTCCTGACGTGCTTGTAGATCAACCACAATGTTCGACCAGACTCTATGCTCATCCTCCGTTCCGCGCAGGAAGTAGTCAGCCAAGAAGGCTTTGACGATATGCTTGACGGTGTTCGGAATCGTATCGACGAAATTGAAGGCTTACACCGAACACGAGAATTGACGGTACGTGGTCTTTCCCTACTTCCTATCTTCGAAATCAAGAACTCATGATGTCTCCAGTTCAAGGACGTCGACAAGGGTGATAGAATCCAGCTGTCAGTCGACAAAGGAGGCGCTGCACTGATCGAAACCCTACTAGGCCCTCCTTCATGATCTACTTGTATATATATCCTCTTGTGACCTTCAAGTATATTATTCTGGTTAACTTATTGCACGCATATTGGGGGTGAATATGTGAGATGCCCTTTTTGGTTGGGTCATCCACTCTGCCAATGTATTCCACCCTCCTTTAGCAGCTCTCGTTGCTGCGCGTTCTGTATCCTACTCTACGGCAAAGAGAGCACATATAACTACGATGACGACGGATATAGAGAGCAAAGAAAATCACAAGCAAAAAGACGAGGAGTACAGGGGGTACAGGTGTAATTACGGACCGTTCGTAGAGTGAGGGAGATTGAAAGAAATGCATGATGCTTTTTATGCGTGAAACCTTTTAGGCGGTGATCGCGACGGACTTCGTGCCATCCTTCTTGCTCGCCGCTTCCGCCTCTTTGACCGCCTTCTCAGCCTGGGATTTCTTTTCCTCTAATTCCCGAACTTGCTTCTCCAACTTCTCCTTTGTGGTTCCTGCATTGTTGAATATGACACTGCGATGGTGACTTGGTCCCATTGTGCCAGCTTCCGGGTTATGGACGCTGACCATTGGCGAGGAAGAAGAGAGACCCCGATGAAAGGCGGTGGGAAGAACCCGGCCCTCAGGATGTTGGTAGGGACAAGTTGCTCGTGTACATCCAGCACCAAACCGACACGTTGTGAACTGAGGTCGTTGTGGATGCGCGAAGGTGCAGCTTGGTCGTGTGCAACCTGCTCCAAACCGGCAGGGGATTGTCGTCGCGTGATGTTGTGGAGGGACGCTTGCGGGTAGTTCAGCTGGAGAAAAGAAAGGCGTTAGCGAGAGTAGATGCAACGTGAAGTTGATGTTACCTGGTGGGTTCAACACCGCCGGACTAACATGGGCCTTTATACAGTCCTTGTCTTTGCAATCCTTTCCCTTGTCGCAAGGCTCGTTACTAAGAACTACGCCGCTCTCCGCGGTGGCGACTGGGGAAGGATGAGACCACCGACACTGGGGGTTTGTGCATTTCAATGAGAACTTGCAGAGCGTCGGGGACTGAGGACGATCGGGGACACTATAATTAGGGCGGGCTTGAGGAATACTGGCGGGTGTCGGTACTGGGGCAACAACAGGTGGAGCCGGTGCTGGATCCTGTACAATGGGCTGGGCTGCAGGAACATCGACGAATTCCAAAGAGACGTCCGCACTCTTTCCTGCGAATCCACCACCTCTACCCCTACCACCACCTCTGCCTCTTCCATTCCCTCTGCCCCTTCCATTCCCGCCACCATTGTGATTATTCGGCGCTCCCTGAGCAGGGGGGAAAGGTCCACCAGGGAACATATTCATATCTGGTTGCATGGGTGGCTGCATCGGGAAACCTGGGCCACCGAACTGGGGAGCCATGCCCATGGATGAGGCCATCTGGGCCATTAAAGCCATTTGATTCATCATCATCTCCTGCAGAAGGAGAGGGTTTGTCATAGCCATAGGATTCATCTCCATTGGGTTGAATGGAGGGTTCATCATGAGATTTTGGTCTGGTGTATTATTGACGATACTGTCGATACGTGCTTGAATGTCGTCATGACCGTAATTCTTACCAGGAGGGGGTCCCGCTGGTCCACTAACACGGTCCAACAGACTTCGTGGATTAGATGGAGGCGCGTTCCCGTCTCGCAGCATTGCGCGTGGCCCTGTAGGTAGGTCTGTCCGTCTCGATTTCGCCGGAGGGCCTGGAGAAGGAGAGCGTGCAGATGCTGTGCGCTTCTGTCCTGCGGAACTCGAAGGTAACGCTTGGGAGATGGCGTGTTGGTATACACCAGTTCTTGACGTATGTGGAGGACGTCTCGATGACTCCGGGGGTGTGGGCGCAACTTCTCTTGGTCTCTCGGGTTCTGTTGGTGGTTGAGACGGTTCCGAGAGAGTAGTACTGTCAGGCGGAGAGTCGGATGCGCCCTTCGCAATCTCCGCAAAAAGCCAGTCAGTGAAACTGGGATCTGTTGATGTGGCACAAGGGCGTAAGGGTTAAACCGCGGACGACGTGGAACATAAAACTCACCATAATCCGTTCCAATCACTTATGAAAAGTCAAGAAATAAGACAATGTTCTCTGCCCGAAAATTGCTGCGACTCACGGTCTTCAAGTTCACCAGTAATTTGCGCTATGGAAGGGCTGAGTAAAGGAGCTTCAAGCAGCGAAAGGCCAACTTACCTGGTGTTTTATTATTTATCAACATGATTGTGATATACTCGGCCATGACAGGGTCTGCGATCGTGAAATTGAGAGATAGCCTCCCCAGAGCAGCTCTGCTAAACTTACCAGCATCTTGACTGTAGCCCCGTTGGGTGAGTTCGTCTTGAATGGATTGCTTAAGAGAGGCCACGTTAGCGTTGTCTGGTACCAAAAAGATATGTGCACATACTTGGAGGGCGTTGGCGCGCTCTGTGCCAATGGTAAGACCGGGAGGCATAGTAGGATATTCGAGTTTGGGTGAGCGTCGAGCTGAAGAGGTAGATTCATTCTCCGCACGAAAGTACGGATAATGTGTGACTCAGGGAAGACAACCACGTGAGGTAAAAAAACTGCCACCACACCCCAAGCATTAATGGGGTAGTGGTAACCTGGGTCGTTGCCACATTCGAGTGTCAACTCGACCCGCCGGGGGTTCGATTCCCTCTTAATGCAGGTACTTTTTATGCTTTTCTTCACACTCCGTCTTTTGGGGGAATAGAGTACGTAGAGAAGGCCTTACAGTTCTTGTTTTCGTGGCTCGAGTTTCGCGAGTCAATGTAAAACCATGTTTATCTATGCTACTACAAAACACCGCTATGAAGATACGAACTTTGAGAGAACAACTGCGAATGGCAACGAACCCAAGAAAAAATGAACCAGACAACAGAAGATGCGACCTACCATAATTCAACGACGGGCCATTCTGGGGCCATTGCTAAGGATTGTGAGCACTGAGAAGTACGGTACGTGTGGTCGGATGATGTTGTGTAGCAGAAAGACAAAATCAAAGGCTCCTGACTGTCAGTGTATAAGAGACCAGGACTGCGACTCGTCATCGCGAGACAACGACGACAGGTCGGACTGGTCCAACGACGTCGCTGCGCACGTGGTTGCTGTTGTGATCAGAGAAAAACTTCAAAAAGATGAAGTGTGGGGCGAACAGGTGACGATTCAAGCAAAAAAAGAAGTAATGGGACAGCAGGAGTGTTGCTCTGCAACCGACATAACTTATTGGCACGCATTCATCGAGTTCTTCCTTTTTCTTTTTCCCCCATTCTGGCAAAGGTGAAGACTATAACGAACGCCACTGGTACCCTATGAGGACTACATACCACCACCGCCAACCACTGTACCACACTCATCGTTTCAACACACAACAACGGCGCTCGATTCCGATATATCACCACCATTCCTTGATTGCAACAGCAACCTCTATTACGCCGTAATTTCGTTCACAATGTCCTCGCGAATATCGCGGCCTTGTGCATTGTTTTGTTTATCATCCAAGTCACGTAGTTCCTGTATATAAACCTAGTCGTGAGTTGCTTTCCTAAAATGCTTTTCTTGACTTGAACTTTTTTTCATGCAGACCTCGGTTGCTCTGAGAAATATATTTTGCCACGCGGACCTGGGTCACCTCTCGGGAGAGGATACGCCGGTGACTGGAGGATGAGCGGCAGCCCCAATGAGGCGATCATATCATGGTGGCAATTTGTCTGTTTGGCTTGGTGTTGGCGTCGGCGTTGTTGACGAAGCGGAGGGACATGGCCTTGAGGTGAATTCATAATCCTCTAATGGCATCAATACGACCGTGCATGAGATCAATAACTGACGGTTTCTGTCTATTCAGGAATAGCACGTTGGTCTGGAACAGGTGCTCAATGTCATTACTCAGAACGAGGGCTGCACGTTCCGTGAAATCCTAAAGGGTTTCTATCGTATGTGGGCTGGCTGTCACATGTCAAGATCCAGCTCCTATGATGAGCGATGCATATTACTGTAACGTCTTCGACACGGTGACCGAAATATCTCGGTGATTGGCCACTTCCTCGTGAGTTCCTGCTACCTAACTTCCAAACAAAGTCTTATTATCAGTGACAGAGGTCATTCACCGATGGCAGGCCTGCTGAGTTCAGACTCGTGCCTCTCTCGTCTATTTTTAATAAATAGCTCACGGGAGAGCTTGAATCGCCCCAAACCATTGTTTCCGTCTCTTCCACTTGGGCTCTCACCAAGAAAGCTTAAATCATAGATATGGCCAGTGAATCCACGCTGAAGCCTGCGGAGGTCGCAAACTACTTGGTACAAGCTGCCATCAACAAGCACAAGGACCGCTATGAAAGTGTGTTCGCTAAGGCGGTAGGGATTATTCACTCTCGGCAGATGGCCCTCGTTGACCAGGATTTACAGTTCGCCGCTGGTGTTATGCTCTCTTTCGGTGGACTTTTGTCTGAAATTGTCAATGGCGGCTCTGCTGGGTTAACCTCTTCCAATCCTGGCCTCGTCAAAATTTTATCGGGCTTCGTCTTCCCAGTGGGCTTGGTGATGTGAGGGACTACAATTTAATGCTTCTCGCCTCTCATCGAACGAATAGGATCGTCCTCCAAGGGCTAGAGCTCCTAACCAGTAACATGATGGTATGCAGAGTTTAATTTGCCCCGTATCACACTTCTCATGGCTCGACCCTCACATTGTTAGGTCTTCCCCATGGCTGTCGTCAAGCGCGTTATTCCTTGGTGGAGTCTTCCACTGAATTGGTTCATTGGTACGTGAGCACTTATATCGAGTTGGAGGTTATCTTCACCGTTTAAAATAGTGTTCTGGGGAAATCTCACTGGAAGCCTGTTCTTTGGAGCAATCCTTGTAAAGTGTAGGTTGAAAGAATATCCACGATAACATACCATTTAACTCGACGATATCAGACACTGGCCTCTTTTCCGTGGAGCCGTATCTCTCGGCAATTCAAACATTTGCGGTGTAAGTGGACATTCGAAGCCTCGTGTACAGTTTGATTCACATAATGTAGCCACAAGGCCGGAACACCACAGTGGCACCAGATCTTCCTCAGAGGAATTGGCTGCAATTGGCTCGTGTGCATCGCTGTTTGGGTGAGCAGGAAGGTTGCCTTGTGATGCCTCTTTGTCTCATTGTGACGTAGCAAGCTGCCGGTGCAAAGGAAACAATATCAAAGGTGCGGGATGAACCATCCACCAACAAAGACTATTATTGACACCCCCCCGCAGATATTTGCTATCTGGATTCCTATCTGGGTGCGTCTCTCTTTTCAGAGCCAAAGGCCTTCATCTAATAATAATTAGATTTTCGTTGCCTGCGGGTATGACCACGGTAGGCATACTCTTCACAAGACGTCACCTTCTCTAATAATAAACTTGTTCAGTTGTCGCTAATATGTTCTCCGTTCCACTGGGCATCATGCTTGGTGCTGATGTGCGTGGTCTGTTTCCCTTTTGTATGTTGCCTAACTATTCGTCCAGTTGACAACTGCCGAATACATTCGCAAGTGAGTCTAACGGCTGCCAGTGATCTATTCATAACTCAAGGATGCCATAGATCATTGATTGCTTCATTCATTGGGAATGTTGTTGGCGCGCTCTTTGTCGCGCTACCTGCATGCTATTTCTACCTTAGAGATGAGACCACTGGTGGTTTGCGGGATGCAGAGAACGGGTTCTACAACAGCAACAATGAAGGGTCCACCATGAAGGACAAGTAAGCACGTTACGGTTAAATTGTTTGATTCTTAGGGATCCTTCTTATCAAGGTTTAAAATTACGTTTGTAACTAAACTTTGCGCCAATGACCTACTGCTCTGTCATAGCTACCCACTTGGCTATTGCTTTCAGGGTGTCTGTACGTTCGGGCTCATGCCACTTAAAGACCAGAAAGTCGTGAACAGCTTCCGTTGCCTCGTGATACGTGACTTTCCCTTCCTCGGGTTTGACCCCAGCTCCTTCTCCCAGATCCCTGGCCATCCTATTCCTAAGAGTTCGAATCTGGTCCAACATGGTCTCCGCACCCCCGGCAACAATGAAAGTCCGTGGGAAGCCTGCAAAACTGATTTCGAAGTCTGGGTGTAACGAGGAGGGAGAAACGTAGCGGTTCAGCTCTCCAAAGGTCCTGCCCTGTGGGCCAAAGAATGCGTCTTGTGCGTACGAAGCACCACCCTCACGGAGAGTGATATAATCAGTGTCATGACAAGTGTATGCTGAGGAACCAGGGGTGTAGTGGGAGCTACTCAAATCTGTCCAAGGTGATAGGAGAATCTGTCCACCAGGAGGAGCGGGAAGTCCTGGTCTGTCTCCGTATTCCACGAGATAACGAGTAAGAGCAAGAGCCAAGTTGGCACCAGCAGAATCACCCTCAACAAGGATGTTCTCTGGAGCGAAACCGACTTCAGTGACGAGGTAATTGTATGCTGCGAGGGCGTCTAATAGAGCCGCGGGGAAAGGATTGGCAATAGGATCTGGCTTTCCTGATGACAGCCGGTATTCGATGGAGAAAACCCGTTGCACCGAGTCGATATGTTTCAGGAAGCCTCGTACAATCCCAGAGGTGAGGTCGGAAGGGTGTGCAGATAGACGAACGTATGCACCTCCGTGAAGAGCGAGGATGACCTTCTCTCCAGGGGAAGGTGATGATCCCACTTTGAGAGTGGTGCCCTTTTTGTGTAGCCAATAACCTGGGATGTCAACGGGTATGACGGATGATTCGGTGGCCCATTTTTCAAGGTCTCCGTGAACAAGCTGAGATGCAGCCTTGACCCAAACACCATTGACATCGGGCCCTGGAGTAATGGCATGGTGGTCAGGTGTAACACCGAGAGGTCCTGTTCTGAATGAATGCGTGAATTCATGCTGACCCCAAACAAAAGGCAAGGGGATACATACACTGATAAAGTACTTATAAATGCTTTTAGCGACTTAAGCCACAATGCACGTTTGATGGTCCATGCCGGTCGAGGTCGAGCAGACCTGGAAATTTAAAGCGCTTAGCTTCACCATACCTGCGGTGTGAGAATACCAGGAGAAAGGTGCGTACTTGGGTAGTAAAAGCAATGTCCAGAGTGGCACTTTGATTAAAAGGGTGGTTGTTGCTCGGTACAGCAGATATAAGCCCTTCAAAGGCTGATGGTGAAAAGGAGAAGTCATGATATGGTGTTCCCGCTGCGACGGAGCCGAGCTTGTGGATTTATGACTCCGGTTGCATTAATCGACCTGTACAGACCTATCCAGTCTCCACTGCAAGTTGGGGATCGATGCAGAGCACGGTTATCTTTGAAGAACTGGTACAACCGGCAGCAGCGATCGGTTGTACGACAAGAAGTGTCAAGACTCGAAATACTTCATCTTGGCTCGGACGAGGGACCACCATGAAGGGTATGTGGGCATTACGGTTGATCGTTAATCACGGGCTTCTCAGATTCTTCTCAAGGCTTCGAACTACAATTGTGTAATAACCGAACATTGCCCATTGCTCTGTCAAAGCTACCAGGCCTCAGGTTTGATACCGTCTCCTTCTCCCCAATCCTTGACCATCCCTAAAAGTTTGAATCTGGTCCGACAAAGTTTTTGCACCCCCGGCAACAATAAAAGTCCTGGAATGCCTGCAAAGCTGATTTTGAAGTCCGGGTAGAGAGAAGCAGGAGAAACGTA